ACATTTCCTAAATATTACGTAAATACGCATCGCTCCTAATCACTTTAATTACTCGGTAAAATACTCACCGGGATCAAAGTCAGCACCTCCAGTATCCATGCCGCCTGGGTTCCCATATTCTAGTAAGACAAAAATGTAATTAATTAACAGATAATACCATAACATCAGTTATAGTGCTTACAGCTGCTGCTTATAACTGATTAAATCATACAGATTGTTTTAAAAAAGCCATTGCCACTAGCGAGACTTTATACTTCATGAAATACAGTATAACGAAAAATAGATAAATCGGAACTTTGCTCTTTCGACTGCCACATTCTTTTGGAATTTAATCGATCGAAATATTTATTGTAAAATTTAATTATTAATAATTTTGGTCGTTTCATTGTGAAAATCAAAATCTCCCTGTTGGCGCATACTCTATGAATATAATTAAAACGTGCAATTTTTTTGTAATGTAATTATATTCACGCGAAATAAGAATGGCGCGCTCTGATCGCAAAATTATTGCTTTCAAAGTGCAAATGCAGCGAATGTCGTTGTAATAAAATACAAGCGATACACAATTATAATGTTCATTGTAATAAAATATGAATAAATTTTCAGCCCATATAATCTCGAAGCAGCACATGGAATAGAATTACACAGTTTGTAAGGCCAGTTAGGTTAACAACGATATTTCGCCACAATTTACAGAAACACGATAGTTATTAATATTGATTTCTCGTTGTATACTAGGTTACATAATTTCGGAGAGTTTTAACGATACAGACATACAGGAACATGTATCTCCTGCTAACCCACATTTATTCTTGATAAAAAAAACACGAGTTTTATTAATCTCCTTGTGCTTTATACACAATCTCTAGAACTTTATCTTTTCGTTTCGAGAGAGAGGCCAGAAAATACGTAACACATTCGCATTCTATTTTTAAACGCCTTATACGTTCATTAGCGAAATATTACAAGCTAAAATCTAGACAAATTATCTCCGTGTGTGTCTGCGGTCTCGAGATCCAAATATTCTACTCCTTCATCGATATTAATTTCCGGTTAAACGCGAAACTTTTTCCGCAAACGTTATCGAGATTTTTGCGAGCGTCCCGTGCCAGGACACGAATAATTCTCGCTCTAGCTTCGAGAAGCGTCAAGTCTAATTTAATCGGTGAGAAACGAGACGGAGGAAGGACGGAGAAAGAGAGTTGTCAATGTCGCGCGACACGAGGTGCGAAAGAAAGAGGTTAGGAGCGAACAAGGTGCGCGCGGGAAAAGAAGGAGAACGAGAGAGAGAAAAAGCTTCGTTAAATCTGTCGGACACGCGAGAGGAGGGCTACTCAATCTACCTATCTATCTATCTATCTATATTCAGGCACATTTTTCGTCGTGGCCGTTTGATTTCGAGATTAAAAGCCGCCGTGTTACGCGATACACAAGAAAGAGAGAGAGAAAGAATGACAGAGGGGAAGATGGAGGAGGGGAAACGAGGGATCGCTCGTGTATGTGAATACGTGTGAAATTTATATGGCTTGGTTTCCGTAGTTTACGTGCGTATATATTTAGATAGATAGATAGATAGATAGATGGATAGATAGATAGATAGATAGATAGATAGATAGATAGATAGATCGATCGATAGACGGATGGATGGATGGACGGATGGATGGATGGGTGGACGGATGGATGGATGGATGGATGGATGGATGGATGGATGGATGGATGGATGGATGGATGGATGGATGGATGGATGGATGGATGGATGGACGGATGGATGGATGGATGGACGGATGGATGGATGGACGGATGGATGGATGGATGGATGGATGGATGGATGGATGGACGGATGGACGGATGGATGGATGGACGAATGGATGAATGGATGGATGGATGGATGGATGGATGGATGGATGAATGGATAGACGGATGGATGGATGGATGGATGGATGGATGAATAGATGTAGAGATCAAAGCTAAATATTACATCACACTTTCTCGCGACCGAGGCGATTCCATCGTTTCCACTCGCGCGACAAGCTCCGAAAAGAAAAAGGAGCGAGAGGAAAAAAGACGAGCGCCGCATAGAAAGAGAACCGGCATTGCGACGCACGGCAACGTCGGAAGTTGCGAATATTCGACTCGCGAGAGGCAGAGATGGAGATATACATATACATACATACATACATACATATATACATACATATATATATATACATACATACATACATACATACATACATACATATATATATATATATATATATATATATATATATATAGAGAGAGAGAGAGAGAGAGAGAGAGAGAGAGAGAGAGAGAAAGACATGCGGTGTAAAGGAGAGCAAGAGTTGGGAAAGAAAGGGAAGGCGGGCAAAGGAGCAAGAGAGCGAAGCATGGAGGAGGGAATGAGAGAGGATATCTATCCTCTCTCGACCGACATGCACCCGGCCATCTTGAATCCTGGGTGCCGTTGAAAAATAGCGATTCTCCTCGACGAAGAGAACCAGGATCGCTGAAAGCTCTGCGACGACGCGGCCATTGTGCATGCAAGAGGTGTCATTTCGGCGCGCGTCGGACATTCTCTCGCGATAGGATACCATTCCCGGGATCCGGGCGAGCGACCGCCTGGACGGCGGGATGGAGGCGGAGAAGGAGAGAGGGGGGTAGGAAATTCGTCGCGTTCTCGGTCTTCGAAGGCGGGCGCGGGCGCGGGCACGGGCGCGGGCGCTCGTCCTCCGAGTTTTAACGCGCGCACAGATACACGCCACGCTGCACAAAAAGCATCCGAGGAGAGGGATATCACGACGAGGGAAAGAGAAAGAGAGAAAAAAAAGATGTCGGTTAGCGATGTGATCCGTACACGTTTCGTCCGTTTGACACGCGACGCCGTCAGGGTATAGCGACTGAGCGACCGCGAGACCGATGAAGAGAGAGAGAGAGAGGGGGGGAGGGCAGGTAGAGACGGAGACACGGTAACACACAGAGAGAGAGAATGATCAGGCGCCTTTCGCTCCGGCTGTTCTTACTTTGCGGCTGATCGTCCAAGCTCTCCCGGTCGGACATTGCGCTTCTCGCGGCAGCACGCTCCTCTTCTTTCGGTTGTTAAACTTCCACGCGTCGTCGTCCCTTGACGTCTTCTCAGCGGCGGGCCCCCCCGGCGATCGGAGAGCGCGAGAAAAGGAGAGATAGAGATAGAGAGAAAGGGAGAGACACAGACAGAATGTACACGAACGAGGATAGAGAGAAAGAGAAGGAGATCCCTCTCGACGCACTAACTGCTCCTCGTGGAGGCGCGCGCGAGATCCCGACCGACGAGTAGACGTCGACGTCGTTCGATCTATCTCCTCCTTCGGAGCCACCAAGCACGAGCCGGGCCACAAGACGAGCTTCGAGCTTCGACCACACAACCAACAACCCGGAGCCGTAATATATTCCTCTCTTTCGGCCGGCACGGCGCACTGCGAATTTTGCACTTCCTCCTCGGCGTTTTTCTCCTCTTCCTTTTCTCCTTTTCGTCCTTCCAACACACTCACGGCCCCGACCGCCGACCGACCCACCGACCGACCGACCGACCGAACGACCGTCCGTCCGTCGTCCGTCCACGGCACACCAGTCGTCACCACCACCACCACCGCACGCGCTCTCGCCTAGCTCGCTCACTCGCGCTCACGCTCGGTCTCGGTCTCGGTCTCTAACGCCGACACACACCGCCGACTCTTCCGCACGCTCGCGCTGCTTCCCGACTTGCGCTCGCACTCGCTCGCACGCTCGTTCGCTCGCTCGTCTTTCGCTCCTTCGCCTTCTCTCCGATCCTCCCGCCCTCTCCGCGCGCGCAATCACTGAGAGGGAGGAAGCGAGATGGATGGCGAGAGAGAGAGAGAGAGAGGGAGAGGGAGATGTGTAGCGAGTGTTGCAACGCGCGCGCGTGTGGTGCGTAAGAGCGCTACCACAGCTCCATCAGAGTGATGCATGCATGCACGTGCGCATATGCATCTACACGTACGCAACCGCATCGGTCACTCGCAGCTTTACCGAGCGCGCGATGCGCGTATCAAATGTGTATGTGCATGCTTGTACAACTGTCGAAGTCCGCTCGTGTGCACGTCCCATCTTCCCATTTCCCTGTAATTCGATTGTCTATCCTTTTCATGCTGGCAAGCTCGCCATATGATGGCTTTCCACGGCTCTTGAGATGTATGGTGGCGATGCGATATGTCGATTATTAGTCTGTATCGTCGCGTATCGAATTCTCGTACGTAATCTCGAGAAACGTTGCGATCATTGGCCGCATTCGGCGGACTCAATCGTTAAGTAGCAATCGAACATGATTGGTTTCTCCTTTCAGGTCCGACCAATCAGCGTTGAATTACTAGGAAAATCTAGTAATGTTGCCCAACTGTTGAATGCGGTCGTTGCACACGGAGAGAGCCTTCTAACGAGAACCACACTAAACACACTGTCGTACGATTGGCTGTCAAATAGAGAAATTTTCCAAACTTTAAAAGTTTTCTATTCGAGAACCACGTGCGTGGCAAGGTCTACCTATGTTTCTCTTCAAGGAAAGTTTCTATAGATAGCGCGATTGGACACAACCACTCATATCGATATCTTGAGTAACTAATAACGTTTTCGACTGCTCGGGATAATTTACTGGACGTTATTGACCAATCACAGTCATTCTTCTGAATAATATTTAGTTACATTCTTCAGAAGAATGACTGTGATCAAATAGATAAGTATCCAATTGAAATCACTCGGAAAAAAGTTGCAGGCTTGGTTGCGGTTGAAATTGACCAATCAGAGCTAAGTAATTTTCTCGACTCTGTGAACCAAGCTCGCAACTCGTAGTGTGATTACGGCTTTATGTTCTTCGAATTTGGAGCATCGCGTTTCATCTATTTTTACTACATCTATGTTACAAACAAACGCATAACCTTTAGTATAACGTAAATTGCGTTTATATCATTACTTTTTTAAGTCTGATCGAGAAATTAATATACAAATATTTTAACATGTAAGATCACTTATATGTGTATATTTCCTTTTTAGCTACATTTACGCTTTATTATCACTTTACAGTGTATATGTGTGTGTGTGTGTGTGTGTGTGCACATATTTTTTGTCAAGTAATTCAAACTCGGCGTGTTTTTATTTATCCTGCGCATTATTTTTGTTCACGGAAGATAATATATAACAATTTCTAGCAAAAATGGATATTCGTCCAAATAACACCATTTATATCAACAATTTAAATGAAAAAATAAAAAAGGAGGAATTAAAAAAATCACTATATGCCATCTTTTCACAATTTGGCCAAATTTTGGATATCGTGGCTTTAAAAACACTCAAGATGCGTGGACAGGCTTTTGTTATCTTCAAGGAAATAGCAAGCGCATCAAATGCTTTGAGATCTATGCAAGGATTTCCATTTTATGATAAACCAATGGTAAGAATCAGAATTCCTGCTGTATTCAGTGTTTTTTATCTATATTATGTTATTTCTGTACTTTAATAAAAATGTATAAGTTGTCGTTTAATTATATACTAGAAATCAATGTTTCTATTAAATATGTACTTAAATATGTAAAAGTAATTTTTTAATTTTGCAGAGGATACAGTATGCTAAAACTGACAGCGATGTAATAGCCAAAATGAAAGGTACCTTTGCAGAACGTCCAAAGAAACCAAAACGAATTATTCCAGCAGCAGATGAGGAAGCTAAACGTGCCAAAAAGCGTGCAAAAGAGCAAGCAAAGCATTCGCAGCAAGTTGGATATCATCCTAATGTACCTCAGCATCCAGGACTTGTCAATACGGCTGTTCCTGAACAACCACCAAATCAAATATTATTCTTAACAAATTTACCAGATGAAACAAGTGAAATGATGTTATCGATGTTATTTAACCAATTTCCAGGCTTTAAAGAAGTACGATTGGTACCTAATCGGCATGATATTGCTTTTGTCGAATTTGAAAATGAAGTTCAATCTGGAGCAGCGAAAGATGCTCTTCAAGGTTTCAAAATCACACCTTCACATGCAATGAAAATATCATTTGCAAAAAAATAAATTTGCTGGTTTTTTTCTATTGTTTGTGTGATAGAATATTGGAATGTAAGTAAAATATATAAACCAAATTGTGCATTTGTATAAAGCGAATGTATTGATAGCTATTGATGACTATTAATATGAGCTTGGATCATCTCATTCGTGATATTGTACAATGGAAAGTATTTTGTTTGGCAATGGTTATTTTGCAATCAAATTTTCAATAAGTGAATTAAACATGTATATGTGCAACAGATTCTGCCATGATAGAGACATTGCAATTATGAAAAATACATGTAAGAAGTTAAATAAATTTTTGAAATTTTGTACATGCTAATGATTGGAATATTTTTTCATTAAATATTTGTACTTCATTTGAATTAAATATATAAAATATGTATGTGAAAATAGGCAAATTATTAAAACAAAAGATATAATCATTTCTTCCTTCTTTATTCCTAATTATAATGCATTGTATTTGTAAAATAATTATTTAAAGAAATTTAATTTGGACCAATGATAATAATTTTAAAACAAGTTTCAATTTATGTAAGATGATGGTAACTTATAACACATATGTGTTGTTATTAAAAATATACATAATAAAAATTATAATTGTTGGACTTGTAAAAACAATTTATCTATTACAGCAATCTAATATTTTTAATTCATTTCTTTTGTATTTTCCATATTAATTTGATTATGATACCAAAACTTCATATATTTTATAAAAATTTATTTAAATTTTCAATTGATAATAACACGAAATAATATGACAGTATAATATATAAATTATTTAATATAATTGATTTATTTATATTATTTTACAATATCAATAAATATCACGTACATATCCATATATATTATATATAGTATGAAAAAGATCGAAATTATATGAATATATTATGATTTTTACAAGCGAGAATTGTCATATAATCTTAAGCTTAAGTTTTGAAGAAGAGAAATATCTTCAAAGAATGGAGAAATATCTCGGCGATTTATTTGTATTTTGATATTGTATATATTTTATTGCTTTATATATATCTTTTCGATGTGTGCAATAATCTTTTATTTTCTCCTTTGTAAAACTTAGACTTGCCACTTGTAAGGATAATATTTAGACTGAATTGGCACGTTGATCAAGAGTGTCGAAAATATATTTCTTTCATAAAAATATATACGTTTATAATGTTAATTGCACACATTTTCTTTTTTCTTCTCCTTCTCTCTCTCTCTCTCTCTCTCTCTCTCTCTCTCTCTCTCTCTCTCTCTCTCTTTCTTTCTTTCTGTAAGTACACGATATACAATAACAATGTATAATTTGAAAGCAAAAATGAGAAAGTATATGTGTGTACAAATATTTGTTTTTTCTTTCGACTAAAAGATGAGAGTAGCTAATTTCGTTTAAAGATATCGATAAAAAATTAGAAAAAAGCGTGATAAAATTCGCCATTCAATATGAAAGAATTATTTACGAATTCACCATGTAAATTATACTAGAGGAAATGCGCGATTTTTGTCGAAAATGGGGAGTATAGCTTATATATTATATATATATAAGCATAACGAATTTTCCGACCTCGAGTATGCACAAAATATAAATGATTTTTTTTGTCCGCGTAAATTCATATTTGATTTGTCATCATTCTTACAATGCCTGCATAGCTCAAATAGCGCGTTATTAAATATATAAATAATGATAAGTAATATATATGCGCTTATTGTCTCCATTAGTACATATGTATATGTACTAATCATTGGAAGACATTATCGGTTTTGAGTTACAATTGTGTGTGTGTGTGTGTATACATAACGAATATGTATGATATCCGATGTTGAATGATTAATATTTATTATACGGCATTTTTTTAAAAGGAATGCGCGAGAAATGGTAAGACGCGAACGGTTACGCCCAGTGATAAAAAGCAACGTGAATGAGAGCGCCGAGGAACGACAGAAGCGTATAAAATATTTCAGGAGATATAGCTGTTATGCCGTTGCAGGCATCCTTGAAACAGAGCGCGCATTGCTCCATCTTGCCCAGTTGATTGTCCCGTATTTTTTTCTCCATCGTGTTACAAGAATCAGAGCACATTCTTATGGTCACTTCTTGATTTTTGACTGTAAATAAAAGTACTTGATACCTAACATTAATTGTTCTAGAGACACCTCCACATATGCATTTCCGCAAACACACATATGCAGATACTTGCCGTTAATGATTGTTTTGGCACAAGCCATGTTCGAGGGAGTGCCATGAATATGCTGTGAAAGCGCTTCGTCAATCTCGAGAATTTTTATGATTGACTCGAGGATTTTGTGCTGCTGAACCTTCCTCTGCCACTCCACCATATTGTGACCGGTACACTCCATCGGTTGTAATGAAGTCGTTGTCAAAGAGGAATTGCAATTTCGTTCCAGTGAGGTGCACATGTAGCATTTTAGCACGTCTGCCGATAAGAAAAAAAAATACATATATATATTATAGATATAATATAATGTAATATAATATAATATAATATAATGTGTAAATGTGTGTTAAGCAAGAGTCAAACTGATCGCCTCTATCGTGCGCGCACAGGTTTTAATATTGATAAATATTATTACATTCTATCCTTTTACAGAGAAAGAAGGAGAAGATATAAATGAATTTCTGCGAGAGAAAGAAGAAAAATATACAAATAAATTTCAATTTTTTCCTCTTAATGCTTTAACAAAAAAAGAAAAAGTTTTTCTCGCACATATGAGTCTATATATGTATACAACTCCCCAATTTCTTTCAAACATGTATAACAATTTCGTTTTATTACTTTGATTTGTATGTTCTCCTAATATCAATTTGACGTCATATTAATACAAATACGTCTGTTTTGGTCAATTTGATGTTAATATGACATGTCAAATTGACATTACTTTGACTTTTGTTCTCCTAGAAAAAAAGAAGATATAAATAAATCTCAACTTCTCTCTTGATGCTTCAAAGAATGAAAAAGTTTCTCTCGTACATATGAATGTATATATACAGCTTCCTATTTTCTTTGAAACATACAATTTTTTTTATTATTTGCTTCTGAAAGAAAAGTTGTTCGACGTTTGCTCGAACAGTTTCTTTTAGATCATTAATAATTTCGGAAAAATAAAGCAAGTAAAAAGATTGAAATGAATAAAAGACATGTAAATATGTGCGTGTGTGTGTGTGTGTGCGCGCGCGCGCGCAAACGTATTTCTATATACTATCATGTTGTAGTTGTTATTATTTAGGTCGCAAAGTGGCGAAGTGGCGCCAAAACGTCGCGACATTTTATCCCTTAACTATACATATGTGTATAGGGCAATGTACATACAGTTTTCTTCCTCGTACGCGCAATCTTTCTTTCTTTCTCCTATGATTTTTCGTCAAATAGGAGAACAAAGAAAAAAATGACATTAATAGATAAACAAATAAAATTGTTAAGTATGTAATCTATAAATGCATTGATTTGCGTGTATTTAATAATAAAAAATATAATTTGAATAGAATTAGTAGAATTAATATTTCTTTTATACATATATGTTATATGTGTTTTCTTTTTTTTATGTAAACGAATATTTTGGATATTTCAAATTCTGATATTATAATTAATTTTAATTATTTTTAATCTTTCAGTCCGTCAATTAATATCTTGTATAAAACATATAGATTACATACGAGCATAAATAACGTTGTAAACTTATCAAATAATCTTCACAATGGTATCTCGACATTATAAATTAATATTTAACAGCTATTTATTTTTTTATGTTCGATTATATTATGTTATTTATATAGATTACGATAATATTTTCTTTTAGAATCTCTTTTTTCATATATATATAGACACTTTCAAAAAAGTTTTCTATTTAAAAAAATTTTCTATTAAATTAAAACCTTGCATTCTATTTTATAATAAACATTTCTTTCTTTCGCGTAAATAGAATTT